TAAGGTCTTCTCTTAGTCTAATTTATGGAGCTCCAGCCTCAGAACCCAGAACCTAGAACCTTTTCTCCCCTTGCACTGGCATAGACACCCAACTGTTTTAGGGGTTTGTAACATAAAACTCTAAATAGAATGGAAGAAGTTCTAAAAATATTTCATTTTACCCCTTCCTTTTATAGATGACAAAAGTTCAAAGCTTTGACTAATATTATGTTAAACTGATTAAGACAAACTGCTGGGGAGAGAAACAGTTGGCCCAGGATACTGAGTCTTTTCTATAAGAAGGAGCCATGTTTGGAGACTATTTGCTTTAAAAAGGATGAAAATCATGTAGGTCTAGGTCTAACCATTTAACAAGGGTTTGGGTTCTTGGTTTAAAAAAAATGAGCATGTACCACTCTCTGTATCACTCATCCACTTGGAAATTAGTCCTAAAGTTTGCCAGTGAGAAAACACCCCAAAGGAGAAGACCAGGAAGGAGGCTGTGCCTATTGCAGAACAGAGGTGGAATTGGGATGCAGTTTACTCTTGGATGCCTGAGTGGTAACAAGACCTGTACATTAGGAAATGTACATAGTCAGGGACAATTTTACGCCCTCTTGAGCAACTTCACTGCTGAGAAGGTGACCATGCTCCTCATTCCTCAGACAAGCACAGATAGCTTTCTCTCTCCTAGCTGCTTCCACTGAGCACTCCCTCCCTCTGTTATTTATTAAAATGTGCAATACACCAAGAAAGGGAAAGATTATCCTGTTTCCTGCCGTGCAAGACGGTGTGCAGATGGCCAAGGTTAAACGCAGCATTTGGTTTCTTAAGCTTCTTTAATGGGTAAGTGGAAAAGCAATCTGGGACCAGAGTTTGCAGCAGTGACTCTCTGAGGATTAAAACTTGACTTTAATTTGGACTCCACGGCTAAGATTAAATCTGTTTCTGCTATCATTATCCCACTTGTGTTTGTCCCCACTCTGTTTCCACTCTGCCACCCAGTTGAGTGGGAAGAAATTAACCTGACCTTGAACAAAACTCACAGAATCGTTAAGACCTCGGGTTTTCAATAGCCAATAAAATTCTAGAGGCCTAGTAACATTTAGATCATAGATTCATAGGTCTGAAAAGGAGTTTAAAACTCATATAGCCCACACATTTAACAGATGAGGAAAACAAAGTCCAGAGAACCAAGGTGACTTGTTCAAACTTGTTAGTTGGAAGCAGGTCAGAGCTAGAATGAGGCCTCAAGCCCTTAAGCTCCCCATTCCCATGGTACCATGACTAGGCTCCAACCATGGCCACTTCATCTCCAGATCACTCAGGAAGGAACATACACACATCAGGGCTTTTACACAATGTTTGGAATTTTCCTTGTGCAAACGAAAACACCCAAGGAACTGTCTGAAGAAGAGCCATCTCAAACGTCGTAGAAAGGAGATATTTATTTCACCACTCTTATGCTTATGTGGTCTTTATCCAGATCAAAGTTATATATTGAAATTAAAAATTTACATGTTTTTTTTTCTACCCAGGAAGGATTAGGCCATATTTCTCCCCCCAAAGTTAGTTCCTTCCATTTATGTTTCTGATCTGTGTCTAACCAACACACTCAAGATTCAAATTCTGGCACAGCCTGTAGCTGATAAACTACAGCAAAAAATAGGAGTATGGGTTTATAACCATCCTGGAACCAAAGGTTCAATTCAGCTCACAGATGCATTTTGTTTGTCTCATACTGTTTTCAAACTTTGACTTTGAGTTTTATACCCAAGTTATGCTTACTACCTGGCCCCTGAAAATCTTTGTGTTTATGATCTATGCTTGGAGAACTTCTTTCCAAACATAGGTAGGGTAGGCAGGTATGAGTCTCAATGCAGAACATAAAGACACACCTCCACTCTGGACCATTAGTCCTCCTATAACTCTGAGGATCAAGCATAGTTAATGAAGTCAGTCCCCTATCTGGTCCTCTGTAAAGTGATAATACTTTAAACTTATATCTGTCTTGAAACAACGACTGGTTTTGTAAATGCGAGTTATTGCATGGAAATGAGCTAAAGAGTGAAAAAAATGATACTGCAATATCATGGGAAAACCTGATGAGAACTATTTGGAGAATTTTAGATTTAAGTCTAGAGTAACCTGCTAGTGCTGCTCTTTTTTTCATCTCAAATGACCTCATTTAAATATACCTATACAAGCCACTTCCACTGATTTTTTTTCTGAAGACATCTGTATAGTCCCAGAAATAATTGCTATCTTTCAAAGTTCTTTTAAACACAAAAACCGAATTATTGGCTTTTCTTGACAATCTAACTTGCATAGTTCTAAATTAATATCTCTGAGACAGATTTTCAATAATGTAAAAAGGTAAAGCCCACATGAAAATAAAAAAATTAAATAGAATTTATGCTGTCATATATGAATTTAGTTTACCTTTATTCCTTCAATAATCTTCAAACAAAAACACTCTACTTCAAAAATATCATTACCTTTGCAGTTTCTTTTAAATAGCTTTCTTCTTAAAAAGTTCAAACATTCCATGTTCCACAAAACATATTTCAAAAACAACATTTCAAAATCATGGAATTCTCCTTTTCCTTTACACATGCCTATAGTAAAGGAAAAAAACTCCTTTGATTCCTATTGATATAGATTTATTCAAAATTAGTTTTTTATCTACTTGGTAATACCTTTACAAGTTTTTTTTTGTGTTTTTTTTTTAAAATATATTTTATTGATTTTTTACAGAGAAGAAGGGAGAGGGATAGAGAGCCAGAAACATCGATGAGAGAGATCGATCAGCTGCCTCCTGCACGCCCCCCAGTGGGGATGTGCCTGCAACCAAGGTACGTGCCCTTGATCGGAATCGAACCTGGGACCCCTGAGTCCGCAGGCCGACAACGCTCTATTCACTGAGCCAAACAGGTTCGGCGCTTTTACAAGTTTTTACCAAATCACTTTTTTGGTTGTTATCCATTAGATCTACAGAAGAAGTTGGAGTACTCTCTTACCAGTGTATTTATTAAGTTTGTAAGTTAAAACTCCGACAGTAAAAAATTAGAACATTACCTCAGAGTTACAGAGAAAGAATTGAGGCTCTGAGCCTTCATTTGTTGCAGAAACAAAACAAAACACCCTCTGGATTTCCATAGCAAACCGTAAAGAGAACTTTTGGAAATTATCCTAATACAACTTATTTTCATGAGGCTGAGTGGTTACCTCTTCTAAAGTCTCATCAACAGTCATTGAAATGGATTGTCTGCATTTGGCTTTCACTGGCTGATAGAGTTGTATAGGCTGTAAGTGTTCAGGAAGGCTGGTGTCCGCAGACCTCAGCTGCAGGGACTCCTGGATGATACACAACGACTCAAGTCAGAGCTGAGTGCCCTCCTCCCTCAGACTGGGGCAGGTTTTTCTTTGGTAATTGCACTTATTTTGATGACTTGGAAAGAGGAAGTGTTTAATTACATGGTGCACGGATACATCTAATTTAACTGCTCTCAAAAAGTATTAAGCTCATTCTGTGGGATAATAGAGTTGAATTCCAAATGCAGAAAACATTAGGATTATTGTAATCATGCATTTTGTAAATCTGATTATGTCTACTGTTTCCGTAGCTGTCAAGTGTACAGTAAAGACGTTTAAAACTCATTTCAGTCCTATGTCAAAAGTGGTACGTTGTCTCATACTTGTGATATTTAAAAAAAAATACAACTTCAAACCCGTCTCAGGAAAATGTCCAAATCGAAAGTAGCTATGACCCAAGTGCCAGGGAAAACACAATTATTCATCTCACCCAAATGTTTTCATTTCCAGGAAAACTTTGGGCCACCACTGAGAATCCAAGTTCATACGAAAAATGTTGGTTCTAAAATAACAAACATAACAAACAAAGTTGGTCCGAAAGGGCTAGGTCTCTAATTTACTTGCCTCTCTGCCTGTGTACCAATTTATTGTGACTTTTGTATACTTTCCTATTTGGGCCCTAAGAATGCAATGGCTATTGCCATCCAAGGGTAGGAGGACCGCATGCCCCACCATCAGGCAGGGGGGGAGTTGGCTCTGAAATGAATAAATAGGCTGCCCACTCTGCCAGACTTTGTCCCTGCACGACAAATGTACTAAGTCATCTGAAATCTCACGCGGGAAAACATTATGAAAGTCTAAAACCGAGCTGTTAATTTCTGGATCTGATGGGTTGATATCACAGTCACTATGTTTTGAAGCTAATTATTTTAAAGGCCTCTACGTTAAGAAAGGTTTTCTGAACTCTAAAGTTAAATATTCCTGAATGCTCCGATCCATTGCTCCTCAATGATAGTAGGTTAAAGGTGAACGTTCACGATTAGGCTGAAGTATCTTGGTTGCCCTCCAGCTTCACAGTAATAATACCGAAGCCTTATTACTTTTTAAAATAACCGTTATAATGCATACTCGTGAGGCTCTGGGCATGAATCTAGAGTACTTGTTAGTCAAGGGAGTGATGGTTGGAATCTGGGACATAAGACTGGGGCTAAATTTCTTTACCCTCCTAACCCCAGAGAGTCTTTAGAAAAATAGAAACAAAAGAGCACAAAGTACTTAAGGTAAGACACTGTCGTATTCATAATATAGAGAAATAACCACCATGCCTCATGGACAGGAGATACAGTTCTCCGCGGGGCTACAAAACGGTGCTAGTAATAATTTTAATTGGATGCTATCTTTGCTGCCTTCAAAAAGTATCATAAAGTGGAATTATTACAGGCTACAAATGCACTTACAGTGCCGGCCTCTCACCGGAGGAGGCAGATAACATTTATCCTTGGGAGGGTAGCATCAACAGGGTTCCATTTGTTCCCTCCACATGCATCCCCAGTTGCCTGCTATGTGCTTCCCCTGCCTCTGTCTAAGGAGATCAATTTGAATTAGACGCTGCAGAACTGGACGCTAAGTTTTGCTGGCCTCTGCCTGGGGGGAGGGCAGCCCCGTGGAAGGGGCCCGCGTGGCCCTGGGCCGGGCAGAGGGCATACCTGCAGAGGGTTGGGTGGCGTGAGCTGCGACGGAAGGCCATGTCCGGGAGATGGGCTGAGTTTCTGAGGCGGGCTGGCATTCTGCTGAGTTGGAGACGGTTGGTTCTGATTCTGGTTCTGGTTCTGGTGCTGGGGGTGAGGGTGGGGCTGAGGTTGCGGGGGCTGCGATGGCGGAGCGGGCAGCTGCTGGGAGGCGGGTGGCGGCT